TAACATAGTGGCTACTAGCTAGTAGCTAGCAGCCGGTGAGGGTCGGCATGGGCCTAAGGGGTGTCCATGGGCCTAATTAGTCAGCTTCTAGCGGAGTTCTTGCCGTTTTTCACATTTTGAAAGTAGCGCAGCCTCAAAAATCGCCTTCCGGATCGTCCGACACATTTGAGAGGTCATAGCCTTATTTTATCGCGGAATGTGCCTTTAAATATTAGTGGAAAGAGAAAGTTGAAGAAAACTAAAAAGATTAAAACTCTCTGGCAAAACTTTTCCTCTTTAGCGCGATATTTCGGGTGAAAAAAAACGCCATTACTTATGGGCCGACCCAATAGTAATATTTGGTGATAATCAAATAACAAATAAATAACAAACAAATTATAAATACAACATGATGAAATTTATATCTATTTGATTGTTATCTGTAATTCGCAATTTGTACAAAAATAAAAAGCAAAATAAAATACGCAGGAGCAGGGGAAAAACAGCCATACAGCCTTGTTCGCTGCACGTGCCGTGGCGTGTCAACGGGTGCTGTGCCAACCCGTCGTACACCAAACGTTGAAGTGGTCAATCGGCAACAACTGGTGGAAGACAAGCTGGTGCCGTGCCAAATCTGGCCCCTGACACGCCCCGACATCTGCGGCGAGCAAGACTATACCATTAGTTAGGTAAAGGATACCATGACTACGGTTCAAAGAGTTAGGTACATTGGTACGATACGATTCCCAAGCAGATTGACACTTTGATAAAGACATTATGTCGCTCGCGGAATGAACACAACCTTTACGGCTTAACTCTAAGTAAGTGAGCCAACTGTTTGGTAGGAGTGACATTTAAAAATCGTTTTAAAATCTTTGCAGCCTTCATCCTAATTCACGTTACCACGCTCATTTGACCCACCGAAACGGGTTTATTACAAATGTGCGTACTTACCTTGTCACGACGTTGGAGACATAAAAGCCGAGTAGGAATGTCAAAGGGATCATCTTTGTGAACTCGTTGAACATACGACATAACGCTTCGAACTTCCGCCTGAAAAAAATTGATGTTCAACTAGCCAAAGTGTTCTTGGAGTGTCATTCAGATCGTTGTGTAACATCCTTGTCAAGCTCCTGAGGGCTGGACGTCACCCATCTATAGTTCCTTTTTTCTCCCATATAACATCACTGACTATATACGACTCCCCATAAAATGAAATGAGGCACCTTTTTGACTTTTCTCATCTAAGGATGCCTATGTGCCGCGTTAACTCATTTAGGAAGTCGTTCGGCATCAGCAAGTTGCCGTTCGGCATCAGCAAGTTGCAGAAGCGCTCGAGGCACTTTGTTCGTTGGAATTCTCTGCGAGTAGGTCGTATTTGGTCGCTTGAGGGAGGCGGGGGGGGGGGCGGCTTTACTTTCGAGAAGAATGTTTTCAGTTGTTCGATTGTTGAATCCTGTCGGTTTTTCTTGTTTCGAGTACGCAATACCCTCCTCTTCCCTACAATCGCCTCCCCCATCCCTCGTTCGACACCGGTTTTTTGGGGGAAAAATGAAAGAATTTTGGAATGAATTGTGGAAAAAGTGGTTGGAAATGGGTGAATGAATGAGTGGGGGAGATGGGATCGTACAAGATCAGAGCAGGAAATTCCAAAGGAAGGGTCGCAGTTTGCGAAAATTTTCTTTAACGGTGAGACGTGCCCCAAAAGTGCCTGGGTAATCCTATAGGAGACACTTCACAGTTTTACACACCATACTGCACTCCACGCTTCGTAATCTGTGTACCCTTGTCTGACTAGTCAAAAAACTACGAAATACCCTGTTAGTGTGAGCAATGCTGCGACTCAGAACTAACGTCCGCCTCTGCACCCCATCTTATAGGTATTTCAGAAAAGTTAAATGCATTCATTTTTGAGATCCAACGCCTAATTGGTTGAGTTCGACGCTATCCGGTGCGCTATGCGTTATGCTACCAAGATCGCCTCTCGCCTTTTCTGATGGCTTTTATCCCATAGTCTTACACCACTCACGTGTCAAACGCGATGCTCATTAGCCGATATCGGCAGTGAACCAGAAGGCTCAACATCCTTCAAAATGTTTTAGTTTATGACTGTTTTGTTCGCTCAGGTTGTCTTGTGATGATAACGAACCCTTTGAAGAAATCGTGATGCGAAAGGTGGTTATGTGCGACAGGGTGTTGTCTACGCTTCGTGCGAGATGGTTAGTTTCGCGAATCACTGAAGCATGAAATTCAACATCATGGTTTTTCATCAAAACAAACCGGATCATTCAGTCGGGAACAGTCTAGCATACATTCCAACTTCAAAAGTAAAAGTCGCCAAGTTCGGTGTGGTTCGGTGACAAGTACACTTTAGTTCGCTGCGAACGCTCTGGTGTTTCCGGGGCTGATGACAGCTGCAGCGCCCTAGTGACTTCCTTTAGAGCCGCGAAAGTGGTGAATTTTCCGCGACTGCTATTCGGGAAACTTTGCAAAAGAAAGAGATTCTTACTGGCGAGTCAGCACGGGATGTGTCATTGAGGTACTTGTATTTCTCGTTGTTCTGCAAAGCCAAACTGAAGCACGACCTCATCAAAGAGAGCCTATCTAGGCACCGGAGCTGCACTACTAATATCATTCTGCTGTTGAGCAGGTATTCCAAGTTACGCTACTTTGTTTCTTTTCTTCGACCTCTAAGTATTGACGCCTAGGTTCAGAAGGTGGATGGATGTACTATAAAGGCAGCGCCCACGTTCATTTGCTGTTTCGACGCCCTGTTTGGATATCGCAGCTCACCCTATGAGGATGGTGGACGTACTAGTTTCGCAGCGCCCGCTCGTGAAGAGTCGGCCACCCCGCCCACCTGGCGACCACTACGCCCAACTTCATTTCTAATGGTTGCCTGATGGTGCGGTTGTTCCGCCACTAACTCTCTCCACTTCGAATGGTGAGAGTGAGTGAAGTGATAAGGGAAAACAGCTGATATCAACAAGTGAGAACTCGTGCGGCCGCGCCTTCTCTTCGCCTCAAGCACGTACAACCTCAGCTCGGCGTGGGGTCCTATATAGGGCATATCCGATGATTTTTTTGCATTTTTCTTCACTAATGAACTACTTGCTACCTTGTTGTCACTGTCTGAGCCCATAACTCATCAAATTAAACGCGGGCGGTGCCTTAAATATGCTTAGTGTCAGGAGAGCTGGGTTTGGCGCGGCGCCAATTTCTTTTCCACCTATTGCTGTCGCTTGTCCGGTTCAATAATTGGTGGAAAACAGGCTGGCGCCCTGCTGACCCGGCCCCCCGACATGCCTCAGCATCCGCAGCAAGCAAGGCTGTATTTATAAGAAACTATGCCCACATATACTCTTTATCCCTGAGACGGGGTAGGCGTGGCATTCGAACATGGCACGGAACTGGTTACTCGTGGGATATTTAAATTTCAGACAACCATCTTGTTCTTTGTTGGAAAAAGACGTGACCACATTTGGGTCAAAATGAAAATGTCTTTCCAAGAGCACAGCCACCACGACGTTTAGTTGAAGTACGCAGCCACGCCTACCTCATCTCAGGGATTTCGAGTGTACCTAATTGCAAAAGGTGAGATGGGTACTACAGCGCGGAAGAAACTAACTAGTTCAATGATGCCGATAATGCCAACGTTATCTGTGATGCCAACAAAGAGGAAATTCGCCGTTTTGGATTCGCATAAAGAGGTCCGCTTACCTGTACATTTCTCGATCGGAGGCGTCGTCTGCGAGGTAGTCGATTCCGAAGAGGTAGAAGAGTTTGATGATATAAAAAAGTGCGAGGTAAACGAGTAATTCCCTCCACACCGACCGCCATAGTGAGCCTTTCCATCGAAGGAGCAGACGGAAGAAGCTACCAGAGTACGAGATTGTCATGTTTCAGCGAGTAGCGAACCAAAGGTTTGTCGTTTTGTCACTGAAAATGACCAAACTTCACAGAGATCTCGTTTGCCTTTTTTATTGTCTCCGATCGGGGAATGCATGGTTGATGGACGATCAGCCTTGGCTTGCCGACTAAGAAGAAAATTAAGAGGACAAAGTAAATGGCTATGATGCGTCAACTATCAATGAATGGTATTGAACATGAAAAAAATGAATAAGGAAAAGAAAAAAGAGTTGCAAAAAAAATAGAATCCCGCTCCAGACGATATCGGCACTGATTTGCATGAATACTGAAACGTTCGTTCGATTTGCTTTGTTCTTTGGATACAATTTGTCGTGACAAAAAGTCGTAACGATGTGCACAGTATATTTGACAAGATAATGTGATCTGCATTACCATACGCATACATTACCCCCCTATTGCCGGAAAGTTGCCGAGCTGTCAAGTCTATGAATAGGTTTCGCTTCCTCTTCGTCACCATTGCGCCACACCCTCAGCATAAAGGACAATTCCACAATTCTCCCCTCAGCTGGTGAAGTGATTCATCCGAGTTTAGGGAAAAAAACTGTTGATTATGATGCCAAATGTAGGGTTCTGAAAACTGTCGAGCTGTTTCCCAAAAGCCGGTCCTATTCCACGCCAGAATGTGGAATTGTGCGTCAAGACCAGAAATTTGTGAGTTACAGGATCTTCAAGGGTATAGGACTAATACGGTTGCGAGGGGTAATTGATACTGGAAAATTATCCTTAAAAAGGCGATACAACGCTATGATCAGTCCTTTTATGATCATCTTCATCCAAAATGTACGACTAAAGAACTTAAAGGAAAAATCGAAGAGCTGCTTCAACCAGGAACTAATGCACATATACGTACATACATAGTCCTGATCGTTGCGATAGCGGGGCGTGTCAGGGGGCTGGGTTTGGTGAGGTGCCAGCTTAGTTTCCACCAATCATTGTCGCTTGCTCGCTTCAACGGGTGCTGGGCAGCGGGTTGGCGCCGCCTCAAACCCGGCCTCCTCACACGCCCCAGCATCTGCAGCGAACAAGACCGCGCATACATTCCATCTACCTGAGATGGGATGAAGGCGGCTGCGTACTTCATTTGAATATGGCGTGGGACTTTGGCGAGATTAGAAACCGTGATCATGTCGTTGTTTGGCACACGACAGGAAAGTTGTTCAAAGGGAAATAATCCTGGAAAAAGGCATTGAAGCCCTGTTCAAATAAAGTCTGAGCTGACATTCCCCCAACTCCAAGATATGGAGTGTTTGTGTGATCATATTGTGCCACATGGTGTACTTAAACGTATTAATTGCCAGAAAACTGGTTCTCATCGACAAAACAATTTTATTTTAGCTAAGCTTTGTCAGTACCCATCGTCATGAGTGACGCATCAAAAATGTGCAAAAAATTGTGCAAAAAAATGCTCCAGTGCTGCTTTATCAAAACAGTTAGAAAGAAAAGAGAAAATAAAAAGCCACTGCAATGCAATTACGGCTTTTGCTAAAAGGTTGAAATGACTTAAACGCGGGCACTCAATTGGGACTGGGATTTTGGTCGAGTCCGTACGAACCCCCCTTTTTTTCTGGGTTAGTATCACCCCCTGGTTACCTCCTCGAGGACTGCGAGGAAAATACAACTCTCTGCATCTCCCAGCGACCAAATACGTCCCCCCCCCTTTGTTGGAAAATCCTCAACAACGATGTGCCCTGCCTCTAATGTGTTTAGAGTGTCTGGCATGAAAATGATACGCATGACATAGAATGTTAACGGAACAAATTTTGAAAGAATCAAGTTGGTCTATTAACCGCTGATGGCTCACTCCGAAATACGCCGAAGCCAAAATACTATCTCAAAGACCTCGCAGCATTGGAATGGATATTTGTTCTCTACAACGGTTTACAGAAAGCAACTGATTTACATCGCTCTGTTTCGCAACAGGCGGGCCCTCTCAGACTAAAAAAAAAAAAAAAAAACAAAAAAAAACTGCGTATCGGGCAGATTGATTTAGGGGCGGTCAGTCAACGGCGTTATGGGCAGGAATTTTGCTTTTTCAGGTAAGCTTATAGTCCTTTTATTTCCACCTTGTTTGAGATAAGGAGCTGCTAATCTGGACAAA